TTTATTTCTCAATAAAGGCGTTCAGTGGAACGAAGAGGGACTGATGTAGATGGTGAACCGCGTTCTTTGTTGTTTTTTTTTTTCCTCTTTTGACATTTCGCTTCTGTAATAACGGCCTAAGACAGAGATGTCTCGAAGGAATTTAAACGGAGCGCACTTCTATATTCAGCTATCTTCTATGCCATAATTCCATTCTTCTTTCCTCAACCGCGAATCCAGACGTAGTTCGGTTCATAATTCAATGCCGAGAGCCGGGTTTTATTGTTCAGCGAAGCCTTTGTTTTTGTTGAAGCACCGAATATATATATATATATATATATATATATATATATATATATATATATATATATATATATATATATATATATATATATATATATACACTCCAAGTCTACATGAGCGCAGGCGCCCGGGTGGGTGGTTTAGTTTTGTGATTTCGCACTTCGAATATGCATACAAAGAAAGGCGTAAGACAAAGAGCGCTACGCCAGTTTCCAAGATGTGTCTATGTGCTGCGCTCTTATTACGGAGATCGTTAAACTTAAGAAGGCCCCGTGCCTGGTTTTTTTTTTTTTCCTCCTTTCTTTTTCGTCGCGATGGAGTGTCTGCTATTATTCCCGGCACAACGGATTTCCTTTGCAGAATGAAGTTGCTATTTTTCTTTCTTAATTCTTTTTTTTATCTTGTTGACGTTAAGGATTTCGTTGCCGAAGTGTCTACTGTCAGTCCTTGAAAGGACGAATTCCCTAATGGCCTTCTTAGATTCGACTAGATTTCCTAACACTCGTTTTACGTTTCTTTTTTTTAGGTTGTCGCGACAGTGTCATCATTAGGATTACTCCTGTTCCCTTCATGCAAATGTATATCAAAGACTGGGCAATTCGGCGCTGCGTGTCCGTATTGCTTCGATGTAGATTCGATTCACTTTATGGTTGGTTGTTTCGTTTTTTTTTTTATTGCGATAGCAATTATATTGACAATCTCGGCTGGTTTTTGCCGTTGTCGTTGCCGCCGCCATCATTAACGTATGTGTATATGTATGTATGCATATACGGGGGAAGGACGCGCTAACTTCCACTCCATGCGGAGAGAACATCGTCTTTCCGACCGGGGGCGTCTGCGCGTGAACTCATCCCGTGAGCGAACAGGCGGTGGGGGTGAGGGGGGGGGGGGGGGGGGGGGCTTATGGTTGTTGCGCTATCGCGGCAATGATCAGCGTGCGGCTTGTGCCCCCAAAGCAGGCGGGAGCTTCTAGGGCTGCGCTCTCAACACGAAAAAAATGGTGCCAAAAGTGTACCTGGAGCGACCGTGTCCTCTTACGCCAGCGTTTTGTATAGTTACGTGATGATCATATATAAATGAGTTCACTGCCTGTCTCACTTCGTATAACGTTACAACTTGTAGCCATCGCATTCATTGCTTCACCTTTCCGGTGAAACTGATTTTGTGCAATCACCCCTGCCACAGTCGCCAACTGCACTTGACAACATGCGCGCGAGTATACATAGCAACCGGAAAAGCTTCTTGAGGCACAGCTATAGCTATCCAGCGGCTATGCACGTTTTGCCGGTTCTGTACCGCTCGTCACAAGTTATTTAAGCCTATAGGTGAAGGATCTCAAACGTGTGGTACCGCATACAACCGCATGCGTGCCACGTAATTCTCTTTACTGTGTTCTCAACGTCTCGTGTATTTACGGACAGAGGCAAACCAATACCGCAATCGCTTTTATGTCCCTGTCTGCACGACATACCGACCGTGCGCATTTCACTTCGCCCGCATGCGTCGGCGAACGCCTTTGCGCGCGCATTTCAAAATTTGAGGCTACAACAAACCAAGGTTCATGTATGTATACGCATGCCCACTCGCACGTACGAGTGCTTGCGCAGCCGCTCCTGTCCCTTGCTTCGTGAAACATTCGAAATAGGGTAAGTCCCGCTACTCAACACTGGTCCCTCTATAGAAACAAGGAAGGCAACAGATAGACAAAGGAGCGGGTTTACGTCACTGTGCAGCCTATTAGAAGGCTGTAATCATCAAGAACGGTCCCAAGCACTTACATTAAGGCTTTTGTAAACGCGGATGTACCCTACTTTGAAAATGTTACACATCAATGCACCCTGACCTATACCCAAGCAATCTTTGTTAGTGTACCATTCTTTGGTAGTGTAATCTTTGGTAGTGTACCACATTGCTTTGGCAGTGTACCAAATTCGCTCATTTATCAAACCTCTGCCAGATCGGAGGCGGCAATCCGCAGCTCGTCCTTGGCAGATCAGCTCTGGGCTGTCCACCAAGGCCACGAGGCGGCTGAGGAGCTCGGCATCTCAGTCCCCACGTGGGAGCTGCTCGCAACACAGTGATCTGTGTTTTGGAGGACCAAATGAAAGTTTATCCAATCCAATCCAATCAAGAACGGTTATGTGCCACGGAAATCGTGTAAGCCCCCGGTGACTCACAATGGCGACTAAAACCGAAGAACGGCAACAGTTAGTCCCGACAAATGGCTGCGAAGCGACGGCGGTGAGCCGAGGACCCCCGAGATATACACGCGTGCAACGAGAGGATGAAGGCGACGACGGGCGCGAGAAGACCTTCGAAGCGATGCAAGGTCCTATACCCCAACGACTATGTGCCCATGTCGTGTCTGTGATTGTCTCTGGTAAATCTGGCTAAAGCCTAGCAGTGGCTTAGAAGCAGCCTAGAAGCTATAGCATCACCTATAGATACGGCTATGAAGAAGCAACCAGTTTAGTTTTTAGTCGTCCAGTCTCGCTCTTTCAAGGCGTCAGCGTTTTTCTCCCCCTCTTTTTTTTTTCGCCTTCTTTTCGTTTCTACATTGCTTTGTTTATGTTTTCGTTTCGCGCGCGTGCGTGCGCACGTGAGGGAGGGGGCGGATTCTCTGGAAGAATTCTGATAGGGACAGACATCTCCGTCAACGTATCCTCCACCGTTTAGTCTGGTGGGTTATATCTTGTTTGGCTGGTTAGACTCTGGCTTGTGACGCACTGTAAGCTTCTTTGTCCTGGATGTAGCATGTCACGTTATATGATCCGCTATGTCGGGACCATACAATGGCTTTGGTGGTATGTGCGGCCCCAAAACAGCACGAGCGTGCGTGGATACGCAGAGGCACTTCCTATGCAGCTGTGTTTATGGTTTACGTTCCACGTGTACTTCTTTCTGGTGGCCGCATATATATATATATATATATATATATATATATATATATATTCCCGTCATCAACGCGTTCCAAGAAGAGTTGATGACTGGGATTCATTACCTCATGAGATTTTTTTCGCCTGACAATTTTGCTATATCGCTGGAAATTTATCTATTTGGTGATTAGAGTGTTGAAATGTGTTATAAACTTTGTTGCTGTTTCACAGACATGTAACCTCTGTTAGCGTATAGATACATGTGTGTTATTTTTTTTTTGTTGTTACGAATCACGTGATGTTTCTTATGCCTCTACTGCCTAGACCAAAATGCTGGTCTGCAGTGCGTCTGAATAATATATATATATATATATATATATATATATATATATATATATATATATATATATATATATATATATATATATATATATATATATATATATATAATGTTTTTGTGTGCGTGCGTGTGGCATGGGCAGTTTTCTTCGGGAGTGGGAAGGTGGCTTTGATTCAACCGCCTTCTGTATATATTAGTGCGTGTCTGTTGTACATTTACATACAAAATTCAAAAATCACGAGGGGGGGGGGGGGGGGAGAGGCGCTGAAGTTTGAACCCCCCTGGCTACTCCGCTGGTGTGTTTTGATGTATGTTAACACTCAGCCTCTCTCCCGACACCCTCTAGTAGAGGAGGAAGGTAACTTCTGTGCGTTGTGTTTTGACTATATGCGTGCTCGGGGGGAAGGGGGTTGGTGAAAATTTTCTGGCTGTCGTGCCCCCTCCTCTCCGTCTTTCCAGAGCCGCTGCCCCTGAGACAAAGCAGGCAGCGCATCTGACTAGGATCGTGTTGTACACAATTACACAGAGTAAAATAAATTGTTCTTGCGAGCCGCTCTGCTCATTGTGGCAGTAAATTATTCATATGAACCGGAAGAAACGCTAATGGCGTTTTTTTTCTATCTTGTCAGCTCTCGCGACGGGTGTATAGAAATTTAAGAGGCTTAATTAAGAGCGTCTCGCTTCATTGGCCTTCAATTAATATCACTTAGTTTCCACTTCGTTATTTATATCGCCCACTAAGTGCTCGTCTTCGCGTTTGTATGCGTGACACGAGCTAAGAAAAACGACCTTCGCTTCGGCCCTCCATGGTGTCAGTGCGTGGCGAAACCATCGCGCTTGCCATGAAAGCGATACAGCACGCACAAAAGAGGAAGTGTTAAGTCGCTTGCGCTATTGAGAGCATAAGCCACAGCATATGCCCTCATGAGGCATTCGTTTTTTTTTTTTTCCTATATCGAAGACTTAGTGCATCCTCATTTTATGCTTCTGATTATTTTGTAAAACTGTAATTCTTTGTCTGGTTCTCATTGTCTTCCTTTAAATTTATTCCTAGAAACTATCGTTCTTGTTTAATTTTGTTTGTTTATGTTTTTGTTGTCTCTATTGTTTGCCAGTGTTCTGCATCCACACCAACTCCTGCAATATTGCATCAGCTTTGTAGTATGTACAAATAAATAAAATAAATTGTATCATGATGCATGGTCATCGTTTTGTACTTTGTCTCGTCTTCTGAATTGTCATATCTGGTATAGTCTGAGATCACTGTTTATGGCTGTATCCTGCTGAACTTGGCGTCATGTTTTTCACTGTTAACTATTCTTTTTGTAGACTATTATTTTATCCCTGTTACGTACACGTTAAGTGCCAGCTGGAATCAGTTCACTGACCTCGTCGGGGAGTTACGCAGTTGGTTGAGCTGCCTCTAAATGAAACCCGTCCCCTAACCCCCCTCGCCCACCCGAAACGCATTAAATAAAATATCTGGTCTTTCTTCTGTGCAGTGCCATGCGAACCCTGCTGGCCAAGCTGCCGAGGACCCTGGATCGTGGACGAGAAGAAAGACGACGGCTACACCGCACTTCACCTCGCTGCACTGAACAACCACGTGGAAGTCGCCGAGCTGCTCATTCATCAGGTGAGCGTCGAACTGATTTTTTTTTTTTACTGTAAGCTGTAGCTGTACGCACTGTGAAGGCAGTGGCACAAAGGTTTTCGCTCTTCGTTATTATTTTTATTATTTATTTTTTATTTAACAATACTGCCAATCTCATCAGAGATCATAGCAGGGAAGGCATATGAAAACGAATATTTGTTTACACAGATTCATATTGATAGAAAACACAAAAAAGCCGGTATTACAAAATGACATGCAAATCGTTATATCTGACGATTTGGTGTATCCGACTTTGCTGTATCAGTGTTTCACTTTCACAAAGATAATTGGTCCGACATATTCCTGCAAAAGTCAAGTCGGGCCTCGATATAACGAAGTATCGCATGCAACGAAGTTCATGATGAAAGCAACAGTTTCGCTGCTAGAACTAAGCAGTGAATGCGACAGCAATAAGTTGAAACGTTTTACGAAAGCAAGGCTAGCATTTGGGACTAGCCAAGTCGTCTGAGCACAAAATGAGTGGTAGCATTAACGCCCGGGTTTCGCCTCGTCTATATGTAGGTTATCCTCGTTTTGCTGTGAACACAATCGTTGAAGGTTTAAATAATCTCGTTATGCTAAGTACGTGTTGTATGTATCCCGTGCATTCATTGCGTGTATCTCACTGGCTAAAAAAAGAAAAAAGTAGAAAGTAGATACGGCGTTTAAGGTTTTTGGTATACGCCTGCCAGTAACCTAGGTAAGATTTGCACCACTGCGCTAATAAAAATTTTGCGAATAAAAGACAAGAAGCAAATTAGTACTTGTTTCGTAATGCACACCAACAAGTTGACTGATCCCCCCCCCCCCCCCCGTGCGTACAGGTGTGGTGTATAAGGTTCCTTTTAGCGGCGGCTGCTTTTACGTGAGACAGGCTGCATTAACGAGATATTATCGAGGCATAAGCGATCGCTAAACAGTGACTCACGTGCCGTCTAATCTTTATTTGCATTGCCGAGAGTGTAAGTGCGCGCCAAAATTTGCCGAGTGCGCACTTTTGTACCGTGGCATATGGGAACGACGAAACGCGTCTGGCGGTTGAGGCATGGCATATCGATAACCGCGGTATAGCGCGTGCGTCAGCGCCACCTTCCGATTAGCTTGCATAAAAAATGAAATCAAATTTCTTAGCAGTTATCTTTCACGTAGACATACCCCCGTATTCAAGAACCTCCCTTCACTCAACGCTTCGTCTTCACTTGGGAAAGCCGATTGGAGCGCCATCTCTAAGCACGGCAAGTGACTGCATATCAACGATAGTCTGCTGCGATTCTTGAGTGGCGCAGCGTCATTTTCAGCCAAGTGGTGGCGCAGTGGTTCCCTCTGTCAAGCGAAGGGTGAAAGTCGAGTCGAAGAGCATGGGCATGCGCAGATAAGTTTCCGGGCCTTCTTTCTTCTCCGCCGTACAGTGCGCCTCTTCTATTGGTGGTCGGCGTATCGCGGTGCCTTTACTGCTTCATTGCGACCATGTTTGCACGCCTCTGTCTTTAGAATAGCTAACTCGTGGATCCGGTGTCGCGTAGCTCTACAAAGCGCCGGTTTTAAGCGATGACAGCCGCTCCAGGGAGCGAAAGTAATTCGTGCTGTCTGCCGTCTGCGCTGCGAGCACAGCTGGTCTGGTGATGTCTGTCGAGATAGCGCGTGCGCCGACGCTCGCGAGCCCGCCCTTACGATCAAAGTTCGCGCTTAATGCTCGAGCGACGCAGCGTGACCACCGGCGCCGTAGCCCCGACCAAAGATTGGCGGGGCGTAGTAGTAAGTGATTCTTAAATGTAAAGAAGATAAAAGTGAGCCCCGTGTAACTGTCTCTCAGGGGGAGGACACCTCAACAGCAGCTCACAAGGGGTGGGAATAAGGAGGGATTAAAAGATAGGGTTAAAAGGTATAGAGAGAGCGGAAGGAGAGAGCGAGGCGCAGGGACAGCCCCATACGGAAGCAATGAGAAGATAGGAAAGATGGACGCGGTCGCAGGAGTCCGAGGACGGGGCACCACTAGGCGAGAGCTCTTGTCGCCGGCAGGAGATGGCGTAGGGCGAGCCCAGTCGGCAAGAGCTGCGCTGTCGTCGCAGATCGCGGGGGCACAACCGGTCGGCACGAAATCTAGCGATCGAGTCTCCGGCGGGGCGTTTCCTTTCAGCCTGAGAAACAATCCATGGCATTTCTCGCACTTCTTGCACACTAGACGATGTTATCCCATGCGCCCTTTTGGTGGCAGCGATGGCCGGCTCGTTTCACATTTGCTTCAATCGGGTTGGTCGCCAGCACTTGCACGCTTTTTTTTTGGCACGCAGATCGTGCGATGCACGGGGCAGCGCTATCGATCTGGACTTTATAGGGAACATGACGACGGCGGCAAAAACCGACCGGAAGCTTTTATATAATTGGTGTCGGGATGAAACTGTGTTGCTACTGATAGAGTGCCCCAAATAGAGTGAAACGTTTTTGTAGCGAAGTCGCATCTGGCATATTTTAACCGTTTTTTTTTTTCCATAAGAAATTTCTATTAACGTGCATTTGCAGCACCGCACGAATTTCTGAAACTGTGTCTGCAGCGAGGCAATTATTATTTTGTTCCATCCTTATTTCTTGTATGTATTGTGTTTGTATGGTTCGTGTGTAGTTGAGCATACAGTTTTCTGTGTTAGTGCCATATACCAGGATATAATAAGCTTGGACATAATGTTTTATTTGTTGTAATGAATTACTAGGTATAATAAAGCAAATGTGAAGTTGTCTCGCGTCACTAATGCAGGTATGTGTTAATAAAAAACTGTTTTTATTTAACTGAGCTGTTTTTGTGTGAGATGGGGCACTATAAAAGCAGAATTTTGCTTAACTAAAAGCTACTTTCTGTGGAAGCTGCATGTGAAGGGGTTCTGTTAGCCTAAAAATTAGTGGTTCGTGCACTGATGTGGATTAACTCCCCATTTTAAACTTCAAATTGGTTTTGTGATGTTGCGAAGAGAAATCTTCTTGTATAAAGTAATTTCGTTATGTATGCAGGAACTCAATATTCTCATATGTGTGCATAGGCATTCATTGGTGTCTTGTATTTCATTACAATCGAATGGTAATTAAGAAAGATAAAATGCCATGCTTACCTCTACATTGTCTTTACCCACAACCGCATAGAGTAGACTAATGGATTTAAAAAGATTCTATCAATTATTTCTCATTCGTGAAGTAGCTGAATGATTATTGCTGCAGAGTTTTCTCTTGAAATTTTACTAAATAAATCAAACCAGTTCTGCACGTCAGAAGTGTACAAGCTGCAAATCAGAGCTGAAAGTTTGCCTGCCTCTGTTGACTCTTGGCTTGTGTTTGACAGAACAACGAATTGGGCTAGTTGGTGGGGGTTCATGGTTGCGCACCACAGTTCATTGCACACCACCTGTACTGTACTCCCTGTATCGTCCCCGTCTCGTCTCGTCAATGCAAACGAGAAACCATGAACTTGTGTTTGATTCCAATTCTGTGGATTCGCCTCTCTTTCTTGGCGTTTGGCTTGCATGCGACCTTTTTCCAAAGCTTAGGGTTACTTCACACTCGCTTCTTTTCTCTGTAGATCTGCGTCTCTAGTCCCAGTACTGGTGTTTCGCTATCACTTAGCCTGTTTCGACAGAGGATTTAGCCCTTTGGCGACGCTGCCGTTCCCAACGTGCAGAATGCTCAGCATCCGTAGTCGAAAAGTAAACCTTCATTTGGGATGCAGTGGGGCTCTCGGTTGATCTGTTTTGAAATTGACTAGACTTGTAGCACCATCTCTTGACCTATTTTGGCACTGGCTTACCTGTAGCACGCTCGTCCTTTGGTCTATTTTGTTCTTTGAGCATGGCACCAAGTGGTGACATAAAATGACAGCCCGGTTTCCTAAAGGGCTCAAAACGACGTGAAACAGTGGTATAGATTATAACTTTTCTACAGAAGGTACAGTGTTCGTATTCTAATGCCACTAGAACATGCAAGTTTTTGTTATGGTAGGGATGTCCCTTGGTGCGACCGTGTTTGGCTGTTTGGTGTGCCCTCAGCTCAGATGCCTCAGTAGTGGAGCATCCATCTGATCCAGCGGCATTAGAAGAAGACTATGACTGCTGCTGGAAAGAATAAAGAGCACAGCTAGTTGGTTTGTACCCATTACAAAAGACAGGACGTGTAAGCACAAACACAAGAAGCCACAACATCACAAGCACACCAGCAGTGTGGCTTGTGGCATCTTGTCTTCTTTCTTGTCTTCTCTTGTCTTCTTCCACGGCCAGTCTTTTAGAAAGAATACTGCTAGAAATTGTTCTGGCAAAATAGGACACAGGCATGCTCCCAGCAAAGTGTTGGCCATCGTGGTACTTTAAGCATTTAGTAAGTAATTGCATCTTTTTAACCCGATGCATATTTCTAACCCAAGAGAGTCCCAGTTAACCTAATTAGGTGTTTTGGAATAATATATGGAAAAATTGCTTCAGTGAAAGGGGCCAAGAAAAAACAAAATTATCACAGTGGAAAGTGCCTGGACAGAATCAGGCTCTGCTTGCTACGAATATTCGCATCTGTCACTTCTGTTTTGCACTACTCTTAGTTTATTCTAGGTCAGCCTCTGTAATGCAGATCATGATTTGTATAGAGTGATTTAGGCTTGAAGTGATGAGCTGCTGTAGAATACTGAATGTTGCTGAAGTCAACATTTTGATGTCGAAATGTTGGTATCAGTGGCATTTCATCCTTGTACCATTGCTAGTCATTTCAGTGCCGATAACTTGGTAGCGTCTGTGCCAGTAATTCATGGGTTAATCTCTATATTGTCACTGGGAACTAACTGGTGACCTTTCATTTCATTTTAAATCCAGGGCCATGCCAATATGGATCTGCAGAACGTGAACCTGCAGACTCCACTGCACCTGGCTGTAGAAAGGCAACATGCCCAGATAGTGAGGGTGAGTGTGCAATACATTCTTAGTGATTGCATGTGCAGTGTTTTTTCTTCTCTCTCACTCTCTTTTTTTGTTAGAATGTTTTAATGTTATAGCATTAAACAGCTCGTCTTGCAAAAATTCTGGTCTTAGGATTAGTGTTCTCAGTGAAAAACCAGCATTATCTGCGACTTAAAAGAACTATTAAGATGCAAATAAAATAAATAATGAATATTTTTGGCTTTGTAAATCTAGTATCATTGAAATAATCCAACTTGTTTTTACCGATTGAGCTAGAGGCCTGCATTTGGTTTTAATTCTCAGGAGTATAGAGAAAGTTGAACATGGATTTTTTCTGAATTGAATTTTAAAGTATTGCATCTTTAAAGACATATCTTCACTTATTCATTTTTCCTTTATGTTTGGCGTCATTCTTGGCAGTCATACTTAACATAATTGTTGAACTATTGTGTGGCAACACCCTGCGAAATTTTGGAGATTCTGAGGGTTATAGACGCCGAGCAAAAACAAAATCTTCTAGAGCATTATTGAGCAATCTGTCGTACTTGCAATGGTTTTCATAAAACTCGGGCTACAAAACCGCGAGATAACAAAATTTTGTGACACTGGTTACTTACATTATGCCCAGAAAAATTTTGAGACTTTCAACTACCATTGTTCTTTTGCAGGATCACGTCATAGTTTCCTTTCTGTGCAATTTTCAAAAATCAGTTCTGCTGAATGGAGGCTTCCGAGTTTTCTTTTTTTTTATTAAGGCAAATTTTTTTTCACAAGACTAAAATTATTTTCATGGCCCTGGGAAATCAGAAGGCAAAATATATTTTTCAGCAAAATTAAAGGGGGCCTACGGACATGCACCAACGCTCTTATCTGAACACAATAATTATGATATGAATGAAGAGGAATTGAAGTGGATGGAAAACCAACTTGACCCAGGCAGGGACCATATGCACACCCTTTTGATAATGTGTCCAATGCTTTACCAACTGAGCTACAGCAGTGGTCGCTTTCCCGTCTACTTATTGAGACATTTATGTTTCTTTATTTCTTGGAATGTTAGCCAACATGGCTCGCAGCCTTGACAGTGAGCCTGGTACACTCTCATTTTGTCGGCTGATGTCACTTAGCAGGCTTAGTACTGAGCACATTCACTGTAACATTTATCTCATGCTCGACAATTTGCAGCACCTGGTACGTGAGGGGTGCAACCTGAACATCCCGGACAAGGACGGCGACACCCCGCTGCATGAGGCACTCCGTCACCACACGCTCTCACAGCTGAGACACCTGCAGGACATGCAGGATGTCACAAAGGCCGGTGGAGCACGCTTGAGCACAGCACCTGGATCGAGCTCCACCGCTGGAAACCTGGAGGTGAGGACAAGGAAAGCATATGCACGTAGAGTAATGCCTCTGATCTGTCTTCCACTAAGCCACACAAAGCTTAGTACAGCGAACCTCCTTGATCCTCAAGTCTCGAGACTATATAACACCAGTGACTGCTATGTTGTAACTAATTCTTGCTAGCTTCTTCTGTTACAACATGGCCAGAAAAGAAAGGCACGCTAGCATTTCATGTTATGGCAGAACATAGGAGAGTCCTTTTCCCTGCAATGGGTGTAATCTGGCTAATTAAGATGACAAAGTAAAGGATTATGTATATTTCCGATGTCATTGACCGGCCATTCTACTCGTAGTGGCATTTACACCACTGTTTGGGCTACGCACATGGTCAGCAGGAATACATTCATGTGTTTGCACAGAACACATGTAAGCAGCAAAACAGAGCTTGGTCAGAGCTGATATAAGTGCAGTGGGGTAGTCAAACGCACTGTGCTTAGCTGCAGGCATTCTACTTCTCTACACGGAGGCTGTCCGCCATTTTCATGACAGCATGCCAATACAAGTGAAAACAATTTTATTTTATTTATACAGGAACCTTACAGGTTCCAATAAGAACATTATCTGAGGAGGGGCTGTATGTCAAAAGTAAAACAGCATGGAGCTTGTGTTAGTTACTTCTCAGACAGGTAAGTTGCACAAAATGAAAGTACAAATACTTTCAACCCACTGAACATTTTGGATTAGTATTGATTAGGCAGCAAAGGACACAGGAAATGTGCAACGAAATTGCGGCTATTGGGGAAGAGGGAGAGAGAAATTAATAACAGAAAGGTAGAGAGGTCGGCTTGAGCTACAGTTTGCCCTTACCTGCTACTCCACACTGGGGAAGGGTAACAGGGGAGCGAAAAAGTTATGAATGACGGTGATAAGGTAGGGAGATGAGAATATGGTCTTGTTACTTTGGGGTAACTCTAAAGACATGCATCCAGTCTAGGATAGATGGATGGATGAAAAATTTTATTATGGTCCTTCAGTGCGTGCGTTTAGCTGGCAGCGGGCTGCCCCAAGTCTGGACCGAGAGACCTTGCCCCTCCGCCGCGTCGCGGGCCCGGTGGACAGCCGAGAGCTGTGCTTCAAGGTCTGAGCTGCATCGAGCTCGCTTCCACTCTTCCTTAGTGATTCTGGCCCCCGGTGCTACCCCGGGCATGTGAGCTAAACTAGCTGTATCTTCACAATAGCGACACGCACCGTGAGGGTGCGTGTCCGGAAATATTTTGTGCAAGATTGCCGGGCTTGAGTATGTGCCCGTCTGAAGCTGCCTGAACATGACTTCTTGTGCTTTATTGAGTGCTTTGTGTGGTAGCGCCATAGTTCTTTTAACAAACCGGTAGTGCTGCTTGAGATCATTATAAGTGATGAGGGGGTCGCGCTCGCTCTCCCATTCTGCCGAGAGGGAGTCCAGGCTCGCACAGTGAGTTAAGTCTCGTGCGGCCTCGTGTGCCGTCTCGTAGAGGTTGGGTAGCGGCCCCTCCAATGGTTCCATATGTGCCAGGAACCAATTGATGTAGTGCAGGGTGAGGTGTTGGGTGCCAAGTATTCTGTTAACTGTTGGGAATATTCTCTCTGCTCCGAAGGACAGGATTTCCATTTTCGAATCGCAGTATACCAAGGTTTTTCTGCCTTCAAGGAGTGCAAGGCCGATGGCCGCCTGCTCGGCCACCTCAGGACTCTTCGTGCGGACAGTGCACGCGTTGATAACCATGCCATCTTTGTTGACTACCACTGCTATGTAGGCTCGTCTGCCAGGATATTTGGCTGCATCCGTAAAGCAACATGCTTTCCCGGTAGCCACTGCCTGTCGGAGGAGTGCCTTGGCTCGAGCGAGTCTCCTGTCGATCTTGTGTTCTTGGTTCATATTCCTGTGAAGGGGTGCTGCTCTAATCTTTTTCTTCTGCTTTGGCGTTAGCCTGTGGCTATTACACTCGATCTCCCGAGGCGCGACGCCGATTTCCCCTAGGATCTGCCCACAGGTGTGCCAGATAGCCTGGTGATTTGTGCCCGTTCCTGTGCCTCCGCAATCTCGCTTAGCGTGTTGTACATGCCTAATGCGTTATGGGTTTCTGTGCTCGTGTGCATGGGTAGACCCATGGCTCTCTTGGCAACCTTACACAGGAGCGTTTCTAGCTTGTCTCTTTCCACTTTCGTCTAATTGTGCATGGCCGGGGTGTACACAAAGCGACTTATCACGAATGCTTGTGCCAGTCCAAGCAGGTTGTCCTCTTTGAGAACGTGATGCCGGTTGGCCACTCGTCTCAGTAGGCGTGTAGCGTTCTCTGCCTTCGTGGTGAGCTTAGCGACTGCGATGGTGCTCGAGCCATTAGCCTTCATTGTCATGCCCAACATCTTGATGTGACCGACCACAGGTATCATGTTGCCTTCAGTGGTGTACAGCCGAATGCATGGGTCGGCGCCTCTGTCCCATCCCTTCGGTTCGGGCCCTCGTCTCTTGGATGTATATAGCAGCAGCTCGGACTTGCTCTGTGAGCAATGTCGGTTTGAGGTATTCCTCAGTGGTTGGGATCGCATTTTGTAAAGTGAACTCAATTTGTCCTTCACTCCCCTTCACCACCGACATGGTTACATCATCTGCATAGATGGAATGTTGGAAATTCTCGATTTTACTCAATTGCCTGGACAGTCCTAGCATGGTCAGGTTGGAGAGGGTAGGGGATATTACCGAGCCCAGCGGGGTACCCTTGTCGCCCAGCTCGACTGGCTGTGACTGCAGGGACCTGACCCATAGAGGCGCCTGCCTTCCGCTGAGGAAGTCCCGAATATAGTCGTGAAGACGTTTTCCAAGCTCAAGTGTTAAGATTTGTTGTAGAATGAAGGAATGCTGTTTGTTATCAAGGGCCTTTTCTATGTCTAGGCCTAGGATGGCCTTAACTCCTCTTGTTGGACTGTCTAGTATCGACTCTTCACTAACTTCATCGCGTCTTGTAGTTGCCAGCCTCTGACGAAAGCCAATGACGTTGGAAGGATATATCTCGTTGTCCTCCTAGGTAAGGCCTCATACAGTTAAGCACCGCATGCTCCATGGTCTTACCCATGCACGATGTGAGTGATATTGGACGAAGGTTGTCCAAGCTTAGAGGTTTGCCAGATTTGGGTACTAATACCCTTTTTGCCATTTTCCATTCTATGGGAACTTTGCCTGAACGCCACGTTTCCGTAACTATTGCAGTGAGCTGTTCCACACCACCCTCGTCCAGATTGCGGAGGGCCTTATTGGTAATGAGATTTAGCCCCAGTGCGGATCGGCTGTTCAGACCTCTGAGCGTTGTACTATTTCTTCCTTAGTGAAGTCAGCATCGAGCTCCGCATTATGTTTCCCTAGGTGTTGGGAGGTCACGTCCTCGGTAGCTGCAGCATCCGCCACAGGGAAATACTTGACTGTCAGTCTTCTTACATGTCGTCCGGCGTTTCGGTCTTGCATGCCTGGTATAGCAGCTTGCTCGTGGCATTCCTCTGAGAGGCCTTGGTGTTCGCACCGTTTAAGAAGTGTTTCAGAAGGTTCCGAGAGCCTCCGTTGCGCACCTGTCCATCAGTCATGTTGCATACTTTGTCTCATTGCTGACTTTGTCAATAGTAGAGCAGTGTTGTTCGATGCTCCGGATGAGTTCAGCAATCTTCTTCTGCAGCCGACGGTTCAGGCATTACCTTTCCATCTTTGCAGCAATGATTGCTTGGCTTCAAGCATGTGGGCAAGTCTGCTGTCCATCTTCTCAGTTTCCAGCTCGTTGGTGACTGTTCTCGTTGCTGCTTCGAGACCCGTCTTGGGTTGCGTCATCCACTCGTGTAGGGATGCGTCTGCATTCTTCGCGGGCCGACTGGTTCCTCAGCTCTCTAAGTTGTCCTAGTCCACTAGCTTGAATATCTTTTCTCGATTTTGTGCGAGCCTATGGTCATTACTGTGACGTAGTGGTCGCTGCCAAGGTCGACTCCTGTACTATACCACGACGCTCAAGTAATGTTCTTGATGAAGGCGAGGTCAGGCGGGGTGTCCCTGCAGGTGGAAGTTCTCCGTCTCGTTGGTTTTGTCGGCTCGGTTATGAGCTGGAGGCCAGCCTCGATGCTTTCTTCCCATAGATCTTTGCCCTTAGTTGTACTCTGCGCATATCCCCAGGTCGGATGCATTAGCATTAAAGTCTCCCGCCGCAAGCAGGGGATTACTGCCTGCCAGGTGTGTGGCCTTGGTTAGGAAAGCCTGAAACCTCTGCCTGTACTATTTCAGGCTGTTTATGTAACCTCTACTATTTCAGTGATTCCCTAAGTGCAAATTATATGTCACGAGTGAGCTCTACATCATTGCCAACCTACACTTGCAGCTTCTAATGGGCTTGGGTAGCCAGGGTGCAGACAAGAAGTCTAGCGCCTCGATCGCCTGCTTCCTGGTGTCCAACGGAGCCGAGCTCTACATCAAGAACAAGAAGGGACAAGCTCCATTGGACCTGTGCCCCGACCCGAATCTCTGCAATGCACTCGTCAAGTGCCGCAAGGACAAGTCAGGGTGAGTCCACAAAGTATCTTTTGCTAAATAACATTCATGAAGACCATTGTATTGTTAATAGGTTTTTTGTGGCTGTTCACGCATGAAGCAGAAAAACAAAGCACTGTTATTAAAGAATGTAATTTAGGAGCAGTAGTGTTTTTTGTATAGATTGTTTTATATTGTTCTCCTACTGCTTTGCTAATCCAGTGGAATCAGTCTTAATAAATGTTGTTCATTTCTATGCTTTTTCTTTCTTGTGTTGGCAGTTATGGTGTCTCCATCATGAGCTTAAAGGTACACCGCGAAATTCCGAGCAAGTGCCCCCTCTCCCCAACGAAGTCGAAATAGCCGGCAAAGAGGGGGGGGGGGGGGGTTGCTACCCCTCAGAACGGCACCAAAATTCAAGAGCGTGGCGAAATTTTCAAGCCAGAAAAAAAATTGTTGTGCATATGGATTAAAATTTTATTACAGTGAACAATATTTAGGCCCAGGATTTGTTGCAGCTTTTCATCGCTCTCAATACTATCGGTCAGTTGCAAAAAAAGAGGTCGTAGCATAGGTATTCCGCTTGTGGTACTACTTCCAAAAACTTGTCTGGCTTCGTCTCAGTTTAGAGGCAACACAATCTATTGCCTAAAGAATGTAAATAAATTTAAGTTGCAAATTTTATTGCTACTGAGGAAGTACTGGTTTGCTAGCTGGTTGAATGTGTTCGACAAAGCAGCAGCGCAGATGATAAGACAGCAATGAACAACCAAGACGTATGCTGACACACATAGCAGCACTGTTGTCCGTCGTCTCTTCAACTCTGCTTCTGCCTTATTGATCACATAGTTGCTGCACTGTGCTGCTAAGTGCTGAGCACTTGAGGGCGCCGTGCTGTCATATGCTTCTGTCGTCACTCTACGTTACGCAGGTGGAACCACGTATTGCACAGCCATCAGAAGGATATTGAGGGTGCTCTCATGCCGAAAAGAAGTCCTCTTCGTCATGTTCTTTAAGAGCCTTGACGATGATACTAGTGCGTTTTTGACTTGATATTAACGCATCCATAACCACATATAGCATAGCCACTTGTAAGATATTGAGCATGTGCTCGCGCCAATGGCAAGTCTTCCCCCTCTTCTTTCCCGAGTGCCTTAATCATGACATTAAGTGCGGACATTTTTAATAATCGTCACAGCAAATCACCCTGTTCGTTTCTCGGCACTAAGACGTGGCCTCCAAAAAGCGACCCCGTGCCCTTTTAACGCACATGTTTTGCACGCTATCAGGTCACAGATGCTCACGCCATCAACAAGCCCGCAGCCAAACGAGCAGGAGGCCCTGGAGGACTGCATCGTGTGCTCGGACATGAAACGCGACACCCTCTTCGACCCGTGTGGCCACATCGCCACCTGCGCCCTGTGCGCACCGCGCGTCAAGAAGTGCCTGCTCTGCAAGGAGCCCGTGCTTGCACGCACAAAGGTTAGTTTACTGAGAGCAATTTCAGGCCAATCGTGACCCTCATATCACAGCACTACAGCAATGTTCTATGAGGTGCTTGTGTGATATGATAGCATCAACATGACAAGTGACAATGTGAGAAGTACGACGCAGCACAAATGCCATTGGATGACGTTCACTCGTTTCACTGCAAGCAGTGTATATTGGCGCCGATGTTTGGAGAGATGACGAAATTGTTTTACACACAAAGGTTAGATTGCATGAAAATATGCCATTATTGCCATCAGCGCATATGAGAAGCAATGCTATGTTGTGACCAGCAGTTTACCCCTATCCTAGGAATAGAAAAGTTCATTCATGCATTCTTCTAAAGCAGTACTATAAACAATCAAGAGAAAATGTTTAAAAAGACCGACAACCAGTTTTTGTGGGACATAGTATTTTCTTTTAAGTGAAATGGAAAGCCCACTTCACAAAGCCTCTAATGACGAAATGGTAACATAGAAAACGTTGTGAAACACTTGTAATCAGATTTTTTCTCTCTGCAGCGGATATGAAGTCGTGTACACCCAAGATAACGCGCGCTGCAAACAGTGGGTGTCAGAGTGGTTCGTTTTCGAGCTTGGTGGTTTACTGTGCATGCATGCTCACCGTGCACAAGCACCCCAGCTTATCGAGGTTTTCTGGCAGCAACAAAGGTGGCGCCGCCTCTCACCCTGCAGCTCCTTCTACCTAGTAAGCCATGCAGTATAGAGCGTGGCTGGACAATAATATACATACTGTAGCGAAGAGGAATGCTCAGCAGTTTAGCCGAATCGATCGACAGCCTTTAGTGAGGCATGACCTGGGGCTGCCTTCGGCCTGTTTTTCTGCTGCAGCACTGCCTGCACCCATCTAGTTCTTGCTGCTACTGTTCCGACACCACAGCCTCTCTATTTAGCTCAGTGCTTGCGTTATAATACTCTAATTTTGAGTACTAATTATGGCATATATGACAGCATCACACTATCTGACTACATGCAGCAAAGTAATAGACTCCATAATAAAGTTTAAAGCTCTTCCACAAGACTGTTCAACATACCGGTTTTCGCTAATTTTAAGCACAACTTAAAAATATAGGTCCTGCTTATCTCACGGAAGGAATGCTTGAATCTGTCACTATAATTCACGTTTCTTTTTCATTTTTCGCACGTCTTGGCTAGTTGTCAGTCCTTTCAAAACCTCACAGTAAGTGGTAGTAAGTAATGATGGGCTTAACTCTAAGAGAAAGTAAGCTGGCAGTGTGGATCAGATAGAAGATGAGGATCACCAATATCCTAGTTTAATTGAAGAACAATAAATTGGGCTGCTTAGACCACTTAACATAGGACAGATAACCAATGGTCTGCTAAAGGGACTCTAAAATCAACTATTAAGTCGAAGTTGATTGTTGAAATGGCAGTCCAGAAACCTCGTAGTGTTACTTTTGTGCCTAGGAAGGGTCTATTTTGAAGTAAAATTATGTTTTAGGGCTCCGCATCGGGTTAGCGCACTTCAAGTTACCCGTCTCAAGAAACGGACCAACCGGACCGACTCACGTCACTGTTGCCATGCACAATGTTGCCCGGCTTTACTGTGGTAGTAACAGAAGACCGAAAGCAGTGGGCACCTCAGCAGCTACAATGGCCATTGATCAATTTCCCGCCACTGGCTTCGAGATTGCAGGTGCTTTCGTTTCAACTGCACCCCGCTAGATGGCACCACGTGTCTCGTGTAACCACGTGAAAATTGGATTTTTGAACCACTCGCACCATTCCCCATAGTAATGTCTGGCGGTTCTTTTTTACATGAATCAAACAGAAACGAACAAGCAGCATTTTATTGCGTCTCTTGATGCACGAAAAGTTATTTATTTAGTGCAGTTAAATCGATTACTAGTGATTAATTGTAGGCGGTCCATCTGATGTCATCGGGATTATTTTGAACATGTCCTACTGTGGCGCTTGTGTTCTTGTGCTTTACCTTAATTTCTCGGTAAGTAAGGCACTGTTGTTGACTATATTGTCGTTTTAGGTGTTGTCATACATTGAGTTCTCACTCTGACATAAATTGTTATTTGCCTTTAGTGTCCCTTTAAAGACAGAATGGTGGCATTCAAGTGCAATGCCTTTGGCGTATAGCTTAACGGCAATTTCGGCAAACTGCTTTTGGAATAGACAGGTCACACGGTGAGTTTTATGTTGCTTCCAGTATCGTATTCAGTGTGCATTTTTATGTAGTGTCGTTGGTAAACAAACTCCTGCAGTCCTTGCTGAACACCGGCAAGCCCATGTGATATAACCTGACACATGATGACGAAGGCAGCAGCGGAGGCCTACGTATGTTGTGCAAGCTGTTCTTGCTGCTTTCATCGGTGCACAATCGCAGAATAACATGAGAGCCTGCAAAAGCGCGTACGCATAGCAATGAGGAAATGCCGCACTTCAACTAGTCGGGAGTAGGTCACCTGTGAGTTTCTGTGCATACCTGTGCGTCTGACAAATAATGATTGGGTCATCAATTTCAACTCGCGCAGCCTCCAACCTCGCCAATGAGCAAAGTTTGTATCCATACCTGAGGCCATGCCCAGCTTCACAACGGTGGGCAACGAGAACACACCTTATCAGTGGAAACAGTTTGAACACACCAGTAGGCACAAGCTCTCATACACCATCTCAGAATAAGAGCACACTCCGCAATCACGCAGAGGAAGTTGCTTCTTCACCCTTGAGTTTAGAAGAGCACTCTCTGCATGCTAGAGTGCGCTCGATCTTCTTAACTTAATGTGCCATATGGCTACAGTGGAATGGTAAAGATAACCGAGAGCAGAACAATGTTAAGTTCCCGAATCAAATAGGGGAATTTGTGGTCTGAAACTAAAATCTGCTTGTGCAAGAGAGGGTAAACAGTAACTCGATAAGGCTTTCTCCTTCTGTGGACATGAACATGACGGTGATTGATCACAAAAAAGGCTGTCAGTTTTTATGCCCTATTATTGCATTCACAAAGCATTCAACTTCTGAAGAGGCTCAATTTTTATTGCAGGTAGAGGAGTGCGTGGTCTGTTCAGACAAGAAGGCATCCGTACTTTTCAAGCCATGTGGCCACATGTGTGCCTGCGAAGGTAAGTTATGTCCAAATATCTTGAGTAACAGTGTTCATTTTTCATGCACATTGACGTTTCACGCATGTCACTTCAGTTTGGGATACTAGCCGTGTCGTGTGGTTCTAAAAAGTGAAGTGAACATGAATGCACATTGTGTGTTCTGGCATTCATCAGTAAAACTCTTAATGAATACCTTTTATATATTTCCTTGCTTTATTGTGTAAAGTGTGGTTGTGTAAATGTGACCTTATACATTTACCGTATTTACTCGCATAATAGGCACATTTTTCCTTTCAGGAAATCCAGATTGAAGTTAGGGGTGAGCCAATTACGTGGGGTAAAATTTTTGAAAGTTTTTTCGACATGGTTATTACGCTTTAAATCTGCACATTTGTCAAGTAAAAGGCGAATTAATCGTTTATGAATTAATTAAGCATCAAACAAACACACCTATGTACCTTTTAATGAACATGCGAGAACCGTCAACTGCACAGACACGCGTAAAATTTATTTACAAAAAAGTCGTAGATGTTCCTCCTTTTCCCTATTCGGAGTCAGAGTCGGAGAGTACACATTCATCCTCGCCGAGCGGGGATTCATTTTCGGTGTCCGAATCAGCCGCACCCCATAACATGTCGTCCTCACTCGGATCGAGTGCGTTTGAGATACCCGTCTTCTTGAAGCTTTTCCTGATGACTTCGTTGGAAATCGCCTGCCACACTTTCACGATCCAAGCGCACAGCATTTCCACAGGCGGCCTCTTAATCTTACAACCTGGAGTCAGCTGATGTTGTCCTCCAGCCATCCTGGTGGTGTACAGCCTTCGAACATTGTCTTTGAAAGGTTTATTCAGGGACACGTTCAAAGGCTGCAGTATCAATGTGAGACCGGCCGGAATCACTGCCAGATCTGTGTGCAGCTCCTTTAGCTCATCTCGTACACGGTCTACTAGGTGCCCACGAAAACTTTCCAGTACAAGCATGGACGGCAACAACAGACTACCCAGTCCGCCGACCCCTAAACTGTTTTCACCCAATCCACCATGAGTTCCGCGCTCATACAGCCTTGTGCCTGGACCCTGATGTAGATGCCTTGAGGGAAATTTGCCTTTGGGAACTGTCTTACATTTAAAAATATGTAGGTGGTAGCTTGCGCCCGTCCGCTGTCACCACTAGCATTACTGTGCATCGTTGTTGATCAGCGCCAGACGTTCCGACAATAACGCTCCATGCACCTTTCTCCTCCACTGTTGTGTTCCACGGCATATCAAAGCAAAAGGGGGGGTCTGATTGCGTTGCCGATCTGGGACAAAATGAAGTCTTTCTGCTGTCAGAGCTTTATAACAAAGCTGTGGAAGTCCACCACTTTGTCTTCATATGCTGCAGGCAAGCACTGGCACAAGGTGGCCCGCCTTCGCAGTGCGAGGACCATGGCGCAGAATGAAACGAGTTATTCATTTGGAGCTGGCTTTAAACTCTTCTGCTTCAATGTGCTGTGCTCGGGCTATTCTGCACGCCTCAGTCGGCACGATATCTAATGACACAGCACAGCCGTTATGTCGTAGCTCCCGTATATGCCGGACCAGTTGCTCTTCGACGTTCGTATACCTGCCGCTTTTGGCATCGTGGAAAGCTCGTCATGTCTTCGTCGTCGCCTCAAGTTTTTCTTCTTGATCCCTCCAGTACCGAATACTGATTTCTCCACACCCAAATGCCTGCTTGCAGCCCGGTTGCTGTGCTCCAGCGTGTACTGCACTGCCTTCAGTTTAAATCCAGCCGTGTAGCTTGTGTACTTCCCCATGGTGGAACCAAAGTTGAATACACCACCACAATATATCCACGCCGCTTGCAAAATGTCGTTTCTTTCTTTTCCTCTGATGGTGGTGATAAAGATCGAGCCCCCGGCGTTGTACTCGCGACCTCCAAGGGGCGCGGCGATTTGGGGGTATCAGTAATTGATGGAACAGCTGTTTTTTTTTTTTCGCTTATTGATGCTTTATTTTTCAAGTTTATCTCGACAAATACGTTGGTTATGTCGTTGCACTTCGAATTTTTTTATTTGCTCGTTGATTCGCCATCTTTTTTTTCTTCAGGGTACGGAGACCGTGTTCCAACTGTACTGCTCGAAGGTCGAGTCATTTCTTATCACGGCCAAGTTCGGGGTGCGCCTATTGTGCACAGAATGTTAAAAATTCGAATTTGCCGCGACCAAACTAGGGGTGTGCCTATTATGCGAGTGCGCCGATTATTCGAGTAAATACAATATATTGATTGGCCATGATTACAGAGCCTACTTCTTTATTACAATATTACTAGCAGTTATGCAGAAAGGCTGTTCTGGGGAGTTTCGGGAACATATTTATTTGTTCGCGGGCAGAAGTTTACTTCCCATCAATTGGAATTCTGTCCCAAGTTTTTCCTCTAGAGCACAACTATTAGGAATGATAAAATAAAAGACACCTTGCAAACACATTGCACATACAGACAACAATGTTTTGTGTTTTTACTTTCAGCCACTAATGCATAAATAATACTGCACTAGGTACTTAACAGACCTGTCATTCAGGAGCCAGTGCACAAAACTCTGTGATCTATATTTGTAGCAGGCTCCAGAGCATCTTCTCTTCATGCTTGCTGGAGTGTTACTGTGCAGGGTCACTGTAGGTAATGAATTTTTACTGTAGAAGTTGCATTAACACGTTGGACATTAGACAGTGTTGTAAGGTTTCAATCTCAAACACAAATGAAAAGAGGTGTAAAACGTCAGCATGATTACTTACGTTGACAAGCAGTGGCAGTTACCCACTTCAGAACCTCACATCTTTTCACAAGAGTAGGATTGTGCCAAACCAATGCATAATTTTGTCATACAGCAAGAACCCATTGTTTTCACTTCTTGCGATCCTATGGCCTTGCATCATTTCTCTTTCAGGTTGTGCGGCCCTCATGAAGAAATGTGTCCAGTGTCGAGCCCAGATCGACAAGGTGGTTCCGTTCATCGTCTGCTGCGGAGGCTCAGGTGAGCACGCTTGTCCAACGCGACCGTACATCCCGCTACCTTTGTTAATATTTAGAACACGCAATGTCCACACTATGCAAACATTGAGATGAGACACAAAGCATCTTCTGAAAGAAGAGCAAGGCTGCAGCAATGCAAAAGTTCAACAGCATGAGCTTCGCATTTTAGTAGCCAATCATGCAGTTTTCAAGGCTCGCATGTTTGTAAAGTGTTCTCTGCAGTCCTGGCCCTGCTAAAAACAAACTGAATCTTGATTGAACTAGATCGCTACTCATAATTTAGAAGGTTGCATGAAAATTTGTGTGTTGGCTTTACACATTTGGGTTAATGGCTAGAGAACTATACTCATGAAGTCGATGCACAGAGTGTGCTAGAATTTCAATGGTGCAATACAGGAGCAGACAAACAATGCATTCAGCACGGCAGACGTATGATCCATACTTCATTTCATATATGGCAGGCCACACTATAATAACTGTAGGGGTTTAACATCCCGAAACCATGACGTGGTTAAAGGCTAGTGAGGTTCGCCTGACTGCTTACAGTCTCAGAAAAAAGTAGTGTCATGCCTGAAAGATGTGAATCTGTAGCATCTAATCCAACGTCTCTCCAAGTGTCACACTTTTACGTCGCACAATAAGATGTAGTTATTGTGCAGAAGGTGCCAAAGTCGGTCCTGAATCTGTTTACTTTCAAACAAGTTGAGGAACATATTTGTGCTGAAGTTTCTGAGAGCTTCCTTGCACATACTACCCTTTCGTTTGCCACAGATGCGGGAATGCAGTAGCCATACAATTGTCGCCCTTGTAACCATTTTTCGTGTCACACTGTATTTGTGCGACTCTATGTGCACCTGCAGGAAAGTGAACCTCCCGCTAACGTATATCAGGATAAAGGAAAACAGAATGCTGGTCGTCACATTGTGCAACAAAGTACACACTCCCACAGCGTCTCATTGTCCAACGAGTGCCTTTTAAAAGCAACTGCACCACGAACGGGTGGAATAACGAAATGTCACAGGTAGAAAGAAGAGCACAGCACATATAAAATTGTAACCATGCCATCCCTATTCTCTAGCTTGTCTCGCCTTAATTTCCAGTTCTCTTCTTCGCTTTTGATTGTAAGTTTACCCTCCCACTCTTCAGATCTTAATATTTTAAAAAGATACGTCAGCTCACAAATCTGCAAGTACGGAACTTTCTGCAAGCACTTTTGGTTGTATTTTTTTCTCTCGGTGATACATAAGACATTAGGCTTTTTAGCATGGCATTGCTTCATTGCCATTGTGCAGTGCGCATTCGTAGGGACTACCTTTTTTGCGCTTCTCCAGGCCTAGCGGATGGCACAATACAAGAACATAAACGTCGCATCAGATTGCATGTCACACATGATAACAGTAAGAACAGTTAGTTAACTGCCCTGCTTCACAGAAATAGCTACGTGTGAATCGAGCATGAGTTGCATTTTTTTCTGCGCTGTGCCCATAGTGTCGGTTCGCTTTGTGCATCTGTCCTGTGCTGCTTGAATGCCTCAATAACTAATCTAATTTTAGCTAAACCACGAGCTATGTCATGCCTATTGTTTACCACATTGTGGCTTGAAAGTGTCGCTGAAGTGTCATAAGATCAATTTTGATGTACGAATAGTTTTTCCAGAAAAGTTTCACTGAAATGTTTTATTGGTAGGAACGAGTAAATTTAGGCTGGCTGAAATGAGCAAGCAAATTGATAATGAATGCACCAACAGTTTCAACTGTTTCTAAAATCCAGAGAAAGTCATTTGCAGTTATTTCAACATTGAGGGCGTTGCACGATCTTATACACAAAATTCTTGATTTTGTTTTCTTTTTCGTTTTTTCGCGTCATATAAGTGGATGCATATAGGACATGCTTACTACTTGAAGAGATGAACAAAGGAACACACACATTCTCTTTGCTCAAATTTCATCTGTTTTGTTGCAGGAAACTATCCACGTAATACTTATCACATTTCTAGCTTCCGCATTCCTACAGGAAAATTGCCGTATCACTACTGTCAGCATTTTATGTTCCTGCATCCACACCGATATGGAAGCAGAAGCTGCTACAACGGTGTTTTTTCGTGATTTTGGTGAATTTTCGCATTTATACAAATACAGAGATTTGTCACGGTGGTCTAGAAGGTTATAGTGGTCGACAGCCGACCCAGAGAATGTGGTAGCCAATCTCAGCTTCCACTGAATTTTGATGAAGGCAAAACGTAAGGGGCACACTAAGGGCTAGATTTAGGTTCTTGAAAAAGAAGACCAGGTTGTAAAAATTTATGGACCCCTTCACTGCAGCGTCCCTATTACTTGTGCCATGGTCTTGGGACGTAAGACCCTAACAATTATTAACACGGTGAACCTTGGCGTTTCGAACTCATAGGGATCTAAAAATTCGTTCAAAGTAAGAAAAAAGCTTGAACTTAAGGAAGCAATTTGAATTGAGCACTTACCTGCGGCAGTATGTGTGCGAGCGAACATGCGAGTGGGAAGTACACCGGGCATTATTGATGCCTACTTGCATTTAACTCTACACCATACTCACATTAGGAAACGTAGTCGGCCGTGTGCGTCTACACATGCTTTTCTCGCAATAAATTTGTGAACATGGCTTGAAGCTCGACAGATCGGTAGTTACATTTTGCTGGAAAAAGGTCCGGTGCGTGGCGATGTCACGGCTACTTTTCTTGCATTTAGTGCGGTCGAAAGGGCAAGGAGCACTTAGTCACTGGTGTCATCATTTTCACCACTGAGAGCAGAAGGCCCCTCAGAAGTACCCTGTCGAGGGCTTGTAGCCTGTAGACTGGGCGTGCATGTCTTATCACATTTTCTCTGAGGGGGGGTCAGAAATACCCTGGTCGTAGGTGCCAACACATGATTCGAGGCATTTTCAGAGCGAAACATGTTTGAACTAACTCTCGCTGATCTCGCTGCGGCGATTCACCTACTTGCGCGTCTGTGAATCGCCGAGTGTTTGCGGCCATATAAAGACACATAACCTTGCTGGAACCGTAGCATCAGTTCGAATAAGCCAGAAGATTGAATAAAGCATTTTCGAATTAAGCATGTTGGAGTATTAATGAGATTCGGCTGCATTAATTGTAGATGCAGGAAAAACAAACTGCCGCAGTATGGGCAGTCTTATTCCTGCGTTCATCTCTTCATCTCTCCAGTAGTAAACATGTTCTTCGGCAAACAACAGCTGGCACGTGAAAAGTTCATCTGATGCCTCTGCTTTGTGTTTACGAAAATCGCGCCCATTTTCCGGGCTTCTCATTCAAGCTTCCAAGCGGCTCGACTACGGTGTGCAAGAGGCTTTCGACGGTCAAGACTTCGCGATGGAAACGAAATGCTGTCAGTCTTTTTTTGTTCTCTGCTTGCAGCTTCAATTTACAGATCTACCCAAGCAACACAATCAACCTGTCAATCAATAAACTTTTATTTTTGTTGTAAACAATACAATATTTAGTAATTAAGCTCCAAAAGGTGTTTCTAGAAAGTAGCATGACTACTTCGTGACCTTACCTGGCTTTCAGAGATGTTACTGTAACAACATCAGGCAACACTCGCAAAGTACGAGCATTTTTCTGTCATTGTCTACGAATTTTTTGTTGATACTGTGAAACTGCCATAATCATTGAGACGCTGCTTTTCACATGATGCAAGCAAGCAAGGCGTAACCGCCATCACCAGCTGGTATCTTGGGATGCTGTCTTTGAAGGAGTACTTAAAAACATTTTCAAAGTGCATACTATTTCGTAAAATCACTCCTTGGAAGCATCAAATATAAATACATCTAATTTAGAAAATATTTAGGTTGGTACCTTCTTTTCTTAGCTACTGTTTTAAATTGATGCTAAACTTAGCCATGTATGGGTTACGTACAAGGCCATGTATGATGACATTGCTCATGAAAAAGTTGACAGTGGCAGAAAATGCAGGAAGCAATAGCAGAATTATATGAGCACACGTTTTCATCTTGGGTGCCAGTCCCAAATGTGGGTTTCAGAAACTGGCCCTAAAATAAGTTTTGAATGTCATATACCTTTCAGTATTCATTCTCTTTTAAGAGGGGTTGGTGGAAGGTTAAAATCTTAGTTTAATAAAAAAATCACAAGAGATATTTCATGCATGTCCCCTTGTCACTTGAACAATGGTGGAGAGGGGGACAACACTAAGAAAAGTCACCAGCTTCGAAGTCGGCTGGGCTGTCGCCTCCTGATGAAAAGACGAAATGTGTTTCGAAATGTGAAGCCAGTTTTTAACTTTACTATTACAAACTATTGAGTAAAAGTGGCTGGAGAGTTTGTTTTGTTTGTATGATTCATATATCTCACCAAAATATGTATGTGACGCATTTATTGCAGTACACTGCTGCATCAAACTTCTGGCGCTTATAACGGTGGATCATAAGGTTGCACGGGCAAAACTGTTGCCTACAGAGTGGTCTACTCTGAAAGGAACACCTCATCTTTCCAGTGCCAACATTTCCTGTGAACAAATTATCAACTTCGTAGAGTCAAAAAACATTACTTGATGTGATGCATTTCGTGTTCATACAGCAATAAAAAAAAACAGGATTGCCAAGGTCCTCATACCTAGACTTGGTTGTGAATGATCACGAGACAGAAATTTGGTGCTCTAGCATGGTGTACTGTCATGCATTCATTGCCTGCAGTTACGGCTAGTGAAATGCGAACTGTAAACAACTGGACGACTGTGCCACAAAAATTCATTCTACTTCTTCTGCTGTCCAGTTGGTGCCGAGGACGCCGAGACGACGAAGAAGAAAGTGGTGAACCTGCGTGGCCCCACGACCAAGTCGGACATCCCGCTCAACATATCGAAGTTTCCCGTCGACAAGAATGACAACTGTGAGAATAATTTCTTTCTACGCATTTCATGACTGCTGTTTCCACATCTTTTTTCGTAAATTTATTTTCTTATGGCACTAGAAGGGTGGGCGCTGTGTTTGCTCATATAAGACGTTCAGCTACCGGTATGTTCAAGAATCCGTCGACTCTCAGTCCACGAAAGTCTCTTTCATGGAATTGTTATTTAAGTGGAACAACTAACTCCAGTATGTTTGGTTTCATACTTATGAACCACTGATTATCAGCAAATAGAGCCTTTGCTAAATGGAACATATTTTCTTGGGCCCTTCAGGTTCCATTTAACGAGAGGTTGCTTGATTGAATCTAATGAAGGTTGCACCGAATTTCTTCACATGAAGCCATTGTAGTGCACAAAGTATTCAATAGGGTGAGGAAGTGTTTTTTTTCATTTGTAGAGAGGCACATTTATTGTTTTATGATACTGCACATGTAATAATGCATATGCATTGTTTTACATCAGATATCCAACAATACACAGACCTGTTATCATGTATGTAAATGCAGTGAGCATCACGCAAGCAGTGTGATCAAATGTTCATATTGTCATGGGCGAATGGTACATGGGCGAAACAGGACAGCCTGCCGGTATTTTATTAAGCGGTCATCACGCGGGCACGGCGAAGAAATTACCGAAGGCATTTGCGCAGCATTTTAATGTAGCAGTTCACAACTCTGACAGCCTCAAACTCTGCATGCTACAGTCAATGTCCAGAAGAGACAGGTAATGTACAAAATCATACCTTTTTCACAAGGTAAATACACTCCAGCCAGTCCCCAGGTGAGCGAAATTCCCGGAGCCTTCCACTACGGTGTTTCTAATAATCAAACGGTGGTTTTGGGATGTTAAGCCCCACATATCAATCAATCAATCCAAGCCAGTTGGCATAACTGTTTTTAAAGGGGCTCTTGAATCCATTTGATATGGTACATACACAACGAAAACCAATGCGAGTTAAACCATCCATCCAGGAATTTCAAACCTATCAATCTTAACTTCTGACAACCATGATTCAGTGAAACACGTACATCCTCACCTCCCAACCGTTTACGTTTCTTCTTAATCACGGAACGCTTGTTCCTTCTTCAGTCACACATTTCGTCATAGTTCAGTGACGATAGCGTCGATGTTGCGAACAGTAACACTGAAGAACAGAACTCGATTACTTGCATTAAATGTTGGGTATGTGTCATGTGCAGTGTCTAGCCATGTGTTTTTACATATTCAGAATTCTTGCCAGCCAACTCTCCCAAATTTGTTGTTTGTTCGCGAGTTGGTGCTTGATCTACGACATCGAGAAATGCTCTCCCAAATAAAAATGTGTAACTGAGAATCCAACTAGTTTCAACTGGTATTAACTGGTATCAGCTGGTCCCAGTTGGGAACTAACTGGTACAAGTTGATTCCAGTTGGCAGCTTTGATTCCAGTTGATTCCAGTTAGCTACTGGTACCAGTTGAAACTCAACTGGTCCCAGTTGATTCCAGTTGTAGCTGATTTCAGTTAGCAGTTGGTATATTATGTGAAACCTGGAATCTATGCTTTTCTTAAGACAGAATTGTTGAGAAGCATAGTGCCACAACCCTGCACATCCTTCTCACTAAACTAAACATTTACAGTGATGTCTCGTTGATGCACTATTCCTGGAAATTGATGAAGGAAAGGCATCAGATTAGGCCTACTCAGTAACAAATTCACATGCCATCATTTGTGTGGTTTTGCTCTGGGTGGCAATCTTTTCATGCTGTAGCTGTCTCTGAATCTTCAGGGCTGTGGGCAACATTCCAAAGTACATGCTTGCATATTTTCGGAGTGTTATTTGAGCTATTACGCTGAAATATGAAAGCGGCAACTTGTATGAATACCTATGAAAGCCAACTTCTAATCGTGTTTTATAGTGCCAGGTGCAAGTGCGATCGCATTAGTCATTTGTAAACGCATTTCACCAATTGGATTTTGACAAGGAAAAAAAAGAAAGCGTTCTGTTGGGAAAAATTATTATGCAGAGCTATACTAATGATATTACATTGTATTCTTTTTAAATGGAATTCAGTTCTTCATATCTTGAGTTTTTGCTTTACAGGGTTTCTATTGTAGTTTTGACACTTTCTTTCACAGATTTTCTTTGGTTTGTGGTTTGTCCCGGTTCCGTCTCACTAGTCTGCCATTAATGAACCTCTTATCTACACAGCACACTCTGCTTCCAATCGTCCTGGAGGGCCTGGGCCGCTGATGAACAATGGCGCGCACGACACTTCGGTCCACGACCTTCAGAAGCTTCAGCAGCAGCTGCAGGACATTAAAGAACAGGTACAGTGCTAAAAGCTGTTTTTCTCCAATTTCGATTGAAAGTGCTATTTGCATACCTGTTGGCTAGCACACTCCCCATCAGCCCTATGAAAGAAATAATGAACCGCCTTTCGAAGTAATCATCGAATGACTTCTGTATTGGAATTTATCGCCATACAATTCGATTGCCACGACAATTTGTCATATCTGTCTAGGGCACTTTTACAGGGGTTTATTGTGAACCTGGAGCACTCTATTTTCTCATCTCGATGAGTGAGCTGCTAAGCAGGAAAGGATGGCAAGGGGGTAATACCGGTAATTCGGCCAAGTCACAACTTTCGACGCACATGATGAAACGCAGTCTCCTGTTACATTTAGGTGCGAGTGCGGCTGACTGTGTAATTTTGGCAGACTATGGAGCACTGCGCCGGCGCATCGTGGCACCCCAGGGCAAGAAGTGCGTCTCATCGAAATGCCGCACTTGCTATTGGCCCGTAGCGTGGTAACCGCCATTTGACATCCAGCAGCAGAGGCCAGCAGTTTCAAAGCAAGTGAAGACAGGCCTCTGTATGAAATGAGATAATGGCAACTTAGCACTCTGCTTGCTTCACACGACTGCACGATTTTATGAGAACTTGTTGTAGAGGTCTAAGTTGGTAACTCTTCATATTGAAGAAACTTGCGCAACTTGTAATCCCCTCATTCACAGCCACATTATTGCAAACAATAATGATTGTTTTGTTAGTGACCTATACGTAGCTTTGTTTCTGAAGGAAATCTATTTCCTCGAAGCAAGAATTTGAAGTGCTCCTAGCAGGTTTTTCTTTACTCTTTGCCTTATTGTGTTAGGCTGTATTGTTACTCATGCATCTCATGGTTGATCATTGCACATATGCATCATTGTAGGTCACTGCTATTGCGCATCACCGTATAAGTATATATACGTATATGTAAGTGCTGTCATGCGCAATGAGCAGTACAGTGGAACTTCGATTATACATTTTTCGGTTTTGTGATGACCCGTTTTTTACGGCAAATCAGCTTGGTCTCGGTGAAGTTCTCATAGGTATGACGTAATAAAGGACCTTGGTTATACGACACTGTTTAACGTCGACCCCGCATCTTACAATGACTTTCCAGTTCTGTCCAAAATTAAAAACGCACCTTTACTCGCATTTAACATTGAACAAATACTCACAAGGGCACAATATGAGCTTGTGTTCCCCTAGGTTGATTATTAGCAAAATATAGATTGAGACAAGATGTCTTCTTAAAACTGAAAAGTTATTCTAGTGGCTGTTCATGCACTTCTGCATACGCCTCGATCGCATACGTGCGCAGGGTCCTTACCTAGAAAAGCTCCATCCAGAGTAGCTTCAGCTGGCCGAAAAACTCATTTCTGAGATCCTGTTACCGTATTTACTCTTGTAAGGGCTGCACTTTTTTTTTTTTTTTTCGAAAATTTTGCTGGGTGCGGCCTTTACACGAATCAGGCCGATGACAGCTCACCAAAGGTCTGAACTGTTTATGCAACAGTAGCAGAGTGCAAGAGAGTCACAAATTACATGCCAGGACTGTTTTTATTCAGATTCCATTTCGCTGTCGCTGTCCTCGTTCTCGGAGGAGCTCGCCTCGGCGTTCGCGTCTTCCCAGAGAAGGTCATCTTCGGTGCCGTTCATGCAGTTCGAAATTCCTGTTACCTTGAAGCTTTTCGCAACAACTTCTACTGACATGGCACGCCACGCATTCAAAATACATTCACACACCTGTTGGAGCGACGCCCGCTTCAGCCGTCCTGTAGGGTTCTTCTCATGAACACCTTCAGCCATCCATTCAGAGTAACATCGGCGAAATTTCACTTTGAATGGGCGGTTAACGCATACGTCGAGTGGCTGCAGCACACTCGTCAGGCCTCCGGGAATAACGGCCAGGTGCGTACAAGTTGTGGCAAGTCGGTTCTTGACGCAGTCGGTCAAGTGGCCCCTGAAACTGTCCAAAACAAGGAGGGCTTTCCGTTGTAACAGCCCTCCAGGTCTGTTTGCCCAGACGGTCTTAATCCAGTCAACGACCAGTTCATCGGACGTCCAGTCCTTCTCTTGAGCATGTACGACAATTCCCTGAAGGAACTTCTCTTTTGGGAGAGTCTTCCTTGTAGATACGACCTACGGCGGAAGCTTCGTGCTGTCTGCCATGATGCACAACATCACAGTGCACCTTTGACGTTCTGCACCAGTCGTGCGCAAAGACACACTTTTCGCACCTTTGAAATCTACTGTGGTGCTTTCCGGTGCATCGAACCACACAGGTGTCTGGTCCCCATTCCCAATTTGGGACAGGTCGTATTCATGCTTTCTCCTGAGAGCATTCACGAAGCGATGAAACTTTATAACTTGGTCATCGTACTTGCGCGGCAGTTTTTGGCAAATCGTCGTTCAGCACCGAATAGATAGCTGGTTACGATTCATAAAACGCGTATTCCAACCCCGACTTGCCTTGAATTGTGCCTGGGGCACTCCCATGTGGCGAGCAATGTTGAGGGCTTTGACGCGTATCATGTCGGTCGATACGGCGTAGCCGTCCCTTTGTGTGTCGATGACGTAGATGAGGAGCTCGCTTTCGAGTTGCGGGTACTTGCACTTTTTCCCGCGAAACGCATTTCGGCTCCTGTTATTAGCAGCGAGGGCATCTTTTTGCTTCATCCACTAAGCACGTGCTTCTCATCAATGTCGTACTTCCGTCCAGATTCTCGCTTCCCGTGCTCCTCGGCATAGTCAATCACTTGCAGTTTAAATGCTCCAGTGAATGATCTAAGATGCTGGCCCATCGTTCGTCATGTGCGCTGGCTTCTGCAGGGCTCACTACTACCAACAAAGTGACACCCACGACACCAATCTGAAGTCGCACTGCCAGGAACGATGCCAACAAAGAGGCCACACAAGGCAAATATGGCGGCGTGCTGTCAACTGCGTGGTCGGCGCGTCAGCGAAAGTAGAATAAAAGTGAAAAAGCTTGCAGCGCCATCTGACTGTAAATGAACTAACCACACATTTCTGGCGGGACTTTTTGAACTTTATTTTTTTTTTCGAAATTTTCGCTTTCAAAGTTGGGGTGCGGCCCATACACGAGTGTATATATTTTCAAATTCATGGTTGATATACAACAGATCTCCTGCCATGGTTTGTGGCTCTCGCAGTCACTAGCTGGAGCACGCAAAAGGGTGCGATGCAGCTATTTTCACCATGCAAAATAACTTTCACTGAACGTCAGCATTAATTATGAACAACATCACTAGCTGCACATCACAAGGCAACAAATTACGATGCGCACAGCTCAGTCGAACACGAAGGCGTTCTACGCAACCTTGTGAACTCGTGCGTCGCCGTTATGTGATGGCGATGACATTGTGTCTAACTTTTCTGACGGTAAGCAATTTTCGAACTCAAGTTATTGGGAGAGAGATTCGCTCTCACCTGCTTCTACTTAGTAATGCTGCCATTGGCAAGAATAATTTAAATCTACCTTCATTCAAGAAGCTCAAGGTTGCGTCATGGGCTTATTCAGGTGGTCTGTACACGTTTTTCTTTTGTAAGGCTGTGTGTCACTGCCTGTATCCTCAGTTTTTTTTTTTTATTATGATGCCCAGATTATACGATGGTTTTATGTGGTCCCGTGAAAGTCGTATAATAAAGTTTCCACTGGTAGTTGGTAGTGAACATTGTGTGTGGGTGTGTTCTTGTGTGCGTGCATGTGTAAATGTGTGCGAGAATGCGGGAATGTGAAGGTTTGTGCCAAGTTTCTTCAATATGACTGCAACATTTGGCTGAGAGACGTCCATAGGGCGGTCTGCTATACGCTGGATGTTTTTTCATGCCAAGTAAGAGAGATCGTTCATGGCCCCTTTAATCTCACAATTCTTTTTTAAGAGAAGTCTGCAAAGTTTATATTTTATTCCCGTTCCCACAAACTGTGGCATAATACATCCACACTTAAAAAATACACTGAATATACATGGTTTGTCTGTTACTACGATCCAAAATATATCGTCCTATGTCAAGGGGTACCGTGCAATACCAAAACTGTGCACCACCCATTCAAACTCTTCGTTTGGTTAATCTTTCTAAGCTGAGTGAACACTCTCAAAACTTGTGAGGTTCTGTCTTGGATTCTGTCAGAATAAAGTCTTGATTTTGCCAATGAAACCTTCATCAGACGTGAGCAGACACCAGCAGTAACTGTAATCGTGGCAAGTTTCTGTGGGACCTGCAAGCCTGCGTCTATATGAATTTGTTGTCTATGTGTTTTTTGTTGGCTTGCCAAGCTCCTCACAACAAGCGTGGGTTTTGTGTCAGCATATTTTGCAGTCTTTTTGAACCTCACCCATTTAGCACATTGTATATGGCTTTTCTCGTACACTGTCAAAGGAACACTAAAGTCAAATAACAATTTTTGTCAGAGTGAAAGCTCAATGTATGACATCTAAAACGACAATATCATCAAAAACAGTGCCCTACTTACCGAGAAATTAAGATAAATGCACAAGAACACAAGCGCCGCAGTAGGACATTTTCAAAATGATTCCAATGACATCAAACGGACTGCCTACAATTAATCACTAGAAATCGATCTAACTTCATTAAATAAAGAACCTTCTGTGCATCAAGCCACGCAATAAAATGCTGCTTGTTCGTTTCTGTTTGATTAATGTAAAAAAGAACCGCCGGACATTACTAGGAGAATTGGGCGAGTGATTTAAAAATTCAATTTTTGCGTGGTTACATGGGTAGGTGGTGCCATCTAGCGGGGTGCAGTTTAAACAAAAGCATCTGCTATCTCAGAGCCGATGAAGGGAAATCGATCAATGACGGTTGTTGCTGCTGAGGCTCCCCCTGCTTTCGGTCTGCTGCTACTAGCGCAGTAAAGCCGGGCAACGTTGTGCACGGCAACAGTGACGCGAGTCGGTCCAGTCGGTCCGCTTCTTGAGGCGGGTAATTTGAAGTGCGCTAATCCGATGCGGACCACTAAAACGTGATTTCATTTCAAAATAGGCCCTTCCTTGGTACAAAAGTAACACTACGAGGTTTCTGTACTGCCATTTAAACAATCGACGTCAACTTAATAGTTGACTTTAGTGTCCCTTTAACGGAATTATCTACTAGCTTAGCAACGTGGTGGCAACTTTGCTGCCAAGAAGACAACATATGTCTACATGTAAAACAGACCAAAGTAACAAACATCAGCTATCAGTCGACACTCGCACTTCGTTCCTATTTCTCATTATCAAGTATAATGACTACTTAATATTGTACGTATATAATATATATAGTACACATTCTTTTTTACATGGATACGTACTTGTAGAGTGTTTCACTTAACCTACACTTAGTATTAAAGAGATAATGATATGTGCTATGCATGTCAAAGTGGTCCAGCATTGTTCTGAGCCATATGTGGCACATTAGGTAAGCTGAGTAATTAACAAAGATTACCCGCCACAGTGATCTAATGGCTAAGACGCTCGGCTGCAGACCCACAGGTCGCGTGTTCAAGTCCCGGCCGCGGCAGCCGCATTTCTGACAGAGGCGAAAATGCTTGACACTCGTGTGCTTAGATTTAGGTGCACGTTAAAGAACCCCAGGTGGTCGAAATTTCTGGAGCTCTCCTCTATGGCGTCTCTCATAATCATATGGTGGTTCTCGGCCGTTAAGCTGCAACAGGTATTATTATTATTATTATTAATTAACAAAAATTGCTTAATCAACCCTAAAGATTGTCAGCAGAAAAGCTGTAACTCTTGTTCAGCAATGATGAATTATTTCGTCTATGCTAAGGTAACTGCCACCTCATTTTTTCTCCACCTTTTTTTAGAGTGTGCAAAATTACAAGGTGTAGTTTGCACTAGTTAGCTGAAACACCCTGTAAAGGTGGACCTTGAGTGTCTTCCAGAATGGTCGGAGTGATCTAATAGTTTTTTTTTAATCCTCTCTCTCATTCAGACCATGTGCCCGGTGTGCCTAGACCGTCTCAAGAACATGATCTTCCTGTGCGGTCATGGGACTTGCCAAATGTGTGGCGACCGCATGTCCGAGTGCCCCATCTGCCGCAAGGCGGTCGAGAAGCGCATCCTGCTCTACTGACTGTTCCCCGGTGTAACAGAGTGCGCGTCTGGCAGTCGCTGGTGCGACCACTATGGCAGTCTTCTTAGTCACAGTCAAGTGGACGGTTGCGCTCTTTTTGGATTGAGACGAAATGTTGACGTCGAGACTTAGCGCTTCCCGGTTCTGTGTCCCCTCCCCACCACATTTTGCTGATTTTATCCTTACTAATGCATTCGCATGCTCGTATATCTAGAGTTTCTCATTCCTTTTGCAGTTTGAGAAGTTATTTTGCATTAACCTATGATCCTTGTGGTGAGCTTTTTCTTTTTGTTGTTGCATTTAGGCTATGCTATTTATCCTCCTCTGTCGAATTGAAATGGAATTTTTTTCACCTGCTTGTCAAATGTGGTGTGTTGCCATATCACTTAGTAAATGTCTATGGAGTATTGTGCCTAAAAAGTAACATGTTATCCCTGAGGTTGCCGAAAACATTGTCTGAAAATAATATAGGTGTCACTCGGTCACTTTTGATCGCGGTCACGTTGATGGCAATTTGAGTGACTTCTGCGCCAAACTCCTTCTGTATTAGTTTGGATGGCGTGGCAGTGACCTTGCTGATTGTAGTCAACAAATCTAATCTAGATCTGCCCCGATCGTTATCAGAATTGCCCATGTTGAAACCATCTTAGCTGTAAAATTAAACGCACAATAAACAGACAGGTGGACAAAACGTCTTAGCCTTAGCAGGCGATGCATCTTGCCCAGGAAGTCAGCAAGCTCATTACGCTGTTTTATTTCTTTATAATTGCTCTCAAATTTTTCTGGGCATGTTACTAAGGGCTGTGTTAAAGAAATCTTAGGCAGCTTCTTTAGGTTGCTTTCTTAGCTGTGTATAATATCAAATAAGAAGTGCTCGTAAGAGCTTTTTTCTTTCGGTATTTTTCCCTCCCTCAGTGTATTTGCTTTCACTAGATTATTTAATGTATTGTAATCATTCAAGATGCACGTTACTGAAATCCACGTAATTATTAGTCCACTGTATAAGTTAGCCATCACTCTAATTGAATGTTTGAGGAAAGCTTCAAGTAATTCAAGCATATGCAATGACTCTATGGATGCTTCCCTAAGCATGTCATTCATCCTTAAACCAACATTAACAACAGGATTGTTATATTGATCACTTGATACTTAATGAGGCCCTGTTCTCATGAGGTCACTGAAAATTCATTTAGGACAATGCCAAAGATCTGCTGTGCTGAAAATTCCTGTCATGCTTTGTCTCGTATGCTTTGCTAACGTGAATTTAGTTACTTTTCTTTCTCAGCTAAGTTGAACTGTGCTAGTCTCTGGAAAGCTCTTTACACAGAACACTATCACGAACCCATGTATATTTGCACCTAATGCCTAGCTTCTCTACAAACAGTGCTTCCGTTTAGTTCTATAATTAGCGAGTAGTAGCTATGATTAACGACCACATTAACTTGTGTATTGAGGTATGTACTGGGCCTCCCTATCAGGTTGTAGATGTCCATTCACCCAGAATTGTGAAATGATTGTCGTGTTGAAAACTTCTGTGCCAATACACTTACTGCTTAGGCTCTTTGTAAATTAATGATAGCTTTTGCTAGCCAAGTTGGCTGAAAGACCGTCAGAGCTTGAGAATTGGCTACCCAATAAATGCCACTAAACTAGTACTACACGTCTCTACAATAACATGAGCTTATTCATGTAACAAGAACTTTTGCTTGAAATCACGTATTATATCTGAAATGTGTCGAATTGTAATCACAACATCAGTGTGATAACACATGATCAATGAATGTCTTAGGTACGCTGTATGATGTTAAGTCAAGTCAGAATTATCTACAATATGTAGATATATGTAGTAATATATAATACCGTCGAGATAATAGATCCATCAAAGGGGTGTGGCACTTTGTCACTGTGACCGATTCTTTGTTAGTTGTGTATGCCACTACTTGAAAAGTGAATGACAGCACTGTTGATATCATGCCCTCAATGAAATGTATTCTTGTCACCAAGCGACTTGTCACGGAGACGCGTTGCGACTTTCCATCTTATGGGAACCGCCTACTTTGAATTTGTACTAATGTATCTGTGTTCACTTCTGTAAACTTTTGCTGTCCTTACGTCTGACCTAGCTTTTTATGATGCTTAACTCGACAAGGGATGAAACGTTAGGAAAACTAATGCACTATTGTATACGCACAAACACTGTTGACCACTGCTGTTCTGTGCTGTCTTGTTTTGGTGAACCATTTACACGCGAACCCAATCCAAGCTATTCTACACAGAATATTCATTAGGCTTCAATTAGTATTTGTTGCCACGATTGCCGGTATCACTGGGAGTATAGAACGGTCTCCTTACCTTACACAGATATGATGTTATATTTCAGGGGCAGTTGATATGACAGAAACTAATGAGTCAGCAAACGAGCCTGAGGGTTCCTTTATCCACCAGATGCTGGTCAGTTCATGGATAGTTAATGAACGGTAATACTTATAACCATCCTGTTTTGTTTATGTTTCTGGTGATAGTCTGCACATCGTGATAATCTTTTGGGCAAACTCAAACTATCCTTTAGCCTGCACAAACTGTATAGTCTTTTAGTGACCAATTTTAACGATAAGCAGGTTTGTTTATTTCTCTAAATTCTTCGCAACCCTCATAAGCAGTTGCACTTGCTTGCGCATGGTCGATTTTTCTGTGTAGCTTATCTCAGTAATAAGTATTTAGGCACACTTGTTTCTAGTTTCTCCCAGCCAAGTTTGTAGTTTTTAATGGAATGTTGATAACCACATATGTAAACCACAGTAAACAAAGTTTCAACTTTTGAAGTTTAGTTTGTCGTCTGTGGTCTAGAATATACATTATCATTATGCACCCAAACCGCATTATAACAAAGTCACATCTTCCACGAAAATACTTCGTTATATCCAGAAACTCGTAATAAACTAATATTTATAACACTGTATCTATTACAAAGCTATTCTTCGCTTCCTTCGTTTTAAATAACAATTTGTTATGATTGAATTCATTATATCAAGATCTGAGTGTAGTAGTTTCAAGTCTATGGACATGGTATCCACGCTCAAACACAGTGTCCCAGGCAAAAGACGAAAATACTTCAAGTTAAAGCCACAATGTGTGCATGTGCACTGTTGTGACATGATTAAGGAGCGAAAAAATGCATATTTGCAAAAATGCAGAAAAAGCACACAACTTTTCTAATGGGACTGGACAGGAAGAGACAGAAACACAAGCAAGTCTTGTCCCATCATACAAGTTCTACGCTTAGCACTGAATATGTCACTCCAACAAGGCATGCAGTCTAATATTCCTCTAAAAAAAATGCAGTCTGAATCGTCTGTAAAGTTGTTGAAAACTAATAGATGGACATATGCTGGTCACTGGAAGGCCAAGAATAGACATGAAAGCAAAGGTGAAATGCTCCTTTTGTTATTTTGTTTGCGTTAAACTCACCAACAGTATACCTTTCAGTGTATTGTATGTACTGCCAACATTGTTTTGTGCCTTAAGCAGGAGTCCACTGTATGTAAGGGCAATGATAATGTGTTTGATTGATTAGTGATTGATTAGAAGTTTACAGAACAAGTTGAATGAAAGGGCTTGGCTAGAAGTTTGCCTGCCCAGATGAGTGAGGGTTTATCGAATGACAGTAGTTTAGATGCTTTGGATGACTTCGATTTTCACGTCTGGTGACCACTGCTGGTTTAAATCTGATTTTCAACATTTGTCTGTTGAAAGATTGCAAGAAGTAAATGCCGGCAAGTGTTTCTGACAACGTCCTTAATTGTGTGCTTTCACATTTTCCTGCTCTTATTCTATAGGAATGCAGATGTGTCTTTCCATATTCAAGATGTTGCTTTCGCCCTTACTAGTTCAGTCCAGCCTTGGTCTTATCCCTCGAAATCCAAGTTACAGCGCTGCCTCATAGCTGCACTTTTTTGTTTGTCTTATTTATGATTGTGTCATTCGTAGTGCATAATAAAAAATGGTGCAAACCGACAATATCTCATGCTTTTGTGCGTGCCTTGGCATACTCATTGCTAGGAGTACACCTGAACATAATAGTTAGTATAGTCAACTGCAAGAGTTAAAAGACCGCACAAGCACTTCCTGAACTGCCTGTCTAGGTCAAATAGCCCTCACTATCCAGGAGCTGGAAACCGTACCCCAGAGCTGGAAACTTGCCAACCTCATCCTGATTCCCAAACAAGGAAAAAGCCCCACGCTAGCAAACTTGCGTCCCATTTCTCTCACATCCTGTGTAGGCAAATTGATGGAGCACGTTGTCCAGACCCGTCTTATCCGCTAGTTGGAGGATCATCATCTACTCCCCGACACCACGTTCGGCTTCCGCCCACACCTGGCGGCACCGGATGTCATGCTCCTACTCAAACACCAGGTGCTCTGCAACCGCGCTCTAGACACCCAAGTCATTGTTGGTCTTGATGTTTCCAAAGCCTTTGATAATATACAGCACACCGTCATCCTGCAGAATTTACAGGCTTTGGTAGTGGGGAACAGGACGTATGCATACGTGAAGGATTTCCTAACCAATCGCCAAGTGCGCCTTGACATTGGTGAAGGAGAGCTTTCCACCATCACTATCTCTTGTAACCCTGTGGGTTACAGGAGGTAGTGATGGCCAAATCGAAGAAGCCCTACGAACAGCAATTGACCGCGTGGGCAGCTATCTCTCTACGGTAGGCCTGTCTTGCTCGGTGACCAAATCTGAATACATTGTTATCAGATCACAGGGACCCAAACCCAAACAGGTCTCTTTCGATCTCCAAGTGCAGGGGATGCAAATTCCCCAAATAGATCACATTGCACCTGCAGGCCAATGGTGGCAACTCTACCACTCTTCAGCGAATCGACCAATCTGCCAACCAAGGTCGCCTTCTTTAGCGCGTTGCCAACAAGCATGCAGGCATGCACGAATCCAACCTTCTTCGACTGGTTCAGGCATTTGTCTGCACACGCATCACCTACGTGGCTCCCTATCTCTGCCTTACATGCACTGATCTCGATCGCCTCGATACTTCGCTGCACAAGGCATACAAGACCGCCTTAGGACTCCCGATGTCCACTTCTACCGCCAAAACTATGGCCCTTGGGATGTCAAAAACGGTCAATGAGCTTATAGAAGCTACCCTTACGTCCCAGTACCAGCGGCTCTCACTCACGCATGCGGGAGGGACGTGCTGTATTGCAACAAACAGGACTCATCCCCACGCGGGCGGCCACCACTTACCAAGATGTACCGACAGATCAACGACTCAGTCTTCGTATTCCTCCAGTCCCCAAGCACATGCACCCTGAACGTCATGCGGATCGTAGGGCTGACTGAGCACGCCAACTACACAAACGTCTCTCAAATCGCTCCGATGTCACGTACACAGACGCCTCACGACACCCACATTGATCAACAATGGTGGATGTCGCCCTGGCCCCACACCGGGCGTAGAGCACGGCAAGTAGTGTGATTCACTTCACCGATATAACAGTTGCCGAAGAGGTTGCCATTGCTTTGACAATGACCGACCCAATAACCAAGGTGATCGTGATTCCCAACTCGCCATCCGAAATTTTGACGCGGGCCGTATCTCTACACAGGCATACTCAATCATAAAGCATCACACCGCGCCTGTCTCACCTTGTTTTCTTATCTGGGCCCGAGCTCATAAATCCCTTAGTGGAAATGTGCAAGCACTTACTCTTGCCCGAGATCTCAACTGCCGGGCGGAGTTCATTACGCCTTACACTTCTCATTCTTCGCCCTCCCAGGCCTGCAAAGAACTAACTCCTTTGGTCACTTACACAGACATTCTACAGCACTACAGACTAGGCGGTCTCCGCTATCCTCCCGCTCATAAAGATCTTCCTCGACGTGATGCCGTCCTGTGGCGCAAGCTCCAGACAGGTGTCTTCCCAACCCCTGGCTTTATAGCAAGGTATACCCACACCTCGTGACCGCACACTGTAAATACAGCTCACAATCGGCCACCCTCATACACATGGCATGGACGTGCCCACGGTACACTGACGCTTCTCACACAGAAGATACATGGGAGTCCCTTCTGCATATCACTGACTGGGCACAGCAACGCCGGGTAATCTCAAGCGCATTGGATCTCCGCGGTGTCCCTAGGGATCTCCGCTGACCTCGTCTAAGCAGTGTAACCGACCTCTCGGCTGGTCCCCTCTTTTGGCAGTAATAAAGTTTTGATCATCATCACATAGAGGTGTGACCTACCATATCAGCGACGTGGGGTGCAGTGAGGCGAGCCTCGCAGAGCCACTTGAGCAGTGAAACTGTTCGTAATCGAGGCCTCAGTCGTCTTTTCTCGTGTTTAGTGGCGTCCGCGTAGCCAATAAAGTGAACGGGGACGAAAGGGAGTGGTGGTGGTGGTAGTGGTTAGAAGATGAGAAAAGGCACCTAATTTCTGCAACCCGGTCGGGAGCACGGCGCAGTGCCTGAAAGGGAGTGAATGCGGAGTGCAGCGGAAGATGAAAGGCGACAGAAGCGAGGGGAGCCGTGTTGGGGGAGCGCGGTATCGTTGCCTCCTCCTCGCCACTGTTGACAGTGCCTCCAAGGCTAGCCGGCGACGCGCCGTAATTGATCTCGGAGGTCATGACAGTGACGCGACAGGCTCCGCTGCGCTACAGTAAAGTGCGCTTTCATGTGCGGCTCTGATAAAACGCACCCACCATCTGCTTTCCCCGGTCTTCTGGTTGGCGAGGCAGTCTTGCTACGCTCAGGTTGCAAGGGTTGACTTACGTCAAATCGGCTTAGAAGTGTGGCAGCTTGGGCTAGTTGGTATGGCATGACGATAGTTATAGCGCGAGAACAGAACGACGACACAGAGACAAGAAGGACACGAAAGACACGAGCGCTATCGCGAACTAATGCCAGTTTTTAATTGGAAGTTCAATTCCCCGAAAATTTCTATGTTATCCCTTATACATTCTAATACCTCATCGTGAGGCAGAGAGTAGTATAGGTCCTTTATGTCAATTGAAAAACCGAAAAGATTAGATTGATTTGACTGTTTGAAAAATTCTATCAGAGCCTGCGAGTTTTTGATCACAAATGGGTCATCAATCTTTAGACACTTTAGATGGGTCTGAATAAACAAGCCGAGTTGCTTTTGCCACGTACCACTTTCGCTCGTGTCCTTCTTGTCTCTGTGTCGTCGTTTTGTTCTCGCGCTATAACTATCGTCAAATCGGCCGCACGAAATTGTCCGCGCTATTCACGCTACTCATGGCATTCTCTTCTTAATGTAAACCTTGCGCCTATACACGAAATGGTTTCAATCATTTCATTCTTAACAATGAGTGATCGCAACTGCGTGAAAGTGCGTCGTCTGCTGTTGCTGCTAAACGGGCTGCCCGAGCAGTGGATGAATGCCGCTGACCCCAGAATCCAGGTGTGGGCGCCGCCGAAGCAGGAGCGTTTGCGTCAACTTAACCCAAGATCAAAACACCCAGACAGCTGCGCTCAGAATTTGCATTAGGCAATACCGTAATCGTAAGTGATTTTTTTTCTGTCGTTTTATTCGCCGCGCTCCTCAGAAGAAAAAAAAAAGAAATGTAATGAGTCTCGTGCGCCCGGCTACCGCGAGAGGGTGCATTTACTGAAACGTCCATTTACTGAAAAGTTCGGTTCGGGCTGTCACGGTGGATGGACGTGTTTTTTGAGCGCTCCGGATCGACTGCGCAGATAAGTGCTTTTGCATGTTTTGAGCTTGTCTTTATAATTATAAGGCAGCAGCTGAAATCTTCGTAGCACTTATTTTATGGTACGGCTTTTTCGGGGGCCAGTCACCAAGTATTTATTAGTTAGTGCGGGTGTGTGTGTTTAAAATTTTTTGTTGGGTTTTTTTTTTCCTTTTGCCACCCCGTGGGGGAGGTGCGCGTACATTGAACACGCAAATTTTTGTAGTAGAGCTTAGACTTTCTTTCTTTTTCGTAGTGCAGGGCTCGAGTTTAGTAATTATCGAGAATAGGGACAATTGGTGTCAGAAAGACATGGTTAAAAAGACTGTAAAGTGTTCAGGATGTGGAGTGGTTTTGAAAGTGGACCCAAGTGTAGAAGCGGATGGAGAAGAGGCTGACGCGAAGTGTAGGCAATGTGAGGTCGAGGAAAAAATGGGGAAAATGATGGTTGCCCAGAGCGAACTGCTGATGAGAATCGCCGAGCTCGAGACTGCGTTGGCGACAGAGCACGAGAAAACGAGGGCAATGGGAGAAAGACTGAAGTCCGCCGAGGAAGCACTAGCGAAGCTGAACAAAGAAGCGGCCTACGGAGAGAACAGCAGGGAACCAGCAACCAGAACGGTGGAGAAGGAAGAGCAAGCAAGCTTGGAAAAAACAGGTTCAGCCGGTTCAATTGTCGCAAGGCCCAGCTTCAGCGAGGTAGTGGTGGGGCTGGGAGGTGACAAAGCAGCCGGCGTCACAGGTGCAAGTAGCCCCCAGGTGCAGAACGCTCCAGCTGAAAAGTCACAGCATGTGATAATCGCCGGGGACTCGAATTTAAATCGATGCACAGAAGCCATCAAAGAGAGGGTAAGAGGTGACAAGAGGGTTGCAGTAGGGGTGTTCCCATGACGCAAGCTTGAAGCAGTCATGAGGCAAGCAAGCGCAAAACTCAAAACTACAGCTGATAGACGAAACCTCGTGATAATTTGAGGCGGTTTAAACGATGTCTTAAATGAAGATACAGCAGGACTAGCAGCCACACTGGCGAAAGGCGTCGATGACATGCGTGCCACTTCTCCTAAGGTACAGGTAGTGATATGCACGATACCGGAGGTACCGGTGCGTGATAGCCACCTGCAAAGAGCGGTTGTCAACGCAAACCAAGAGATATGGCGGATGAGTCGAGAGAAAGGCTTTGAGGTGGTGGAAATAAACAGAGAGGTGCATAGGTGGGGTGGTTTTCAACGAGACAGAATTCACTTCGATGGGCGGCTAGGTCATGAGGTGGGCTGGCGGCTTGC